GCTTTCTTTTCTTTTTTCTTTTTTTGGAGAGGTTTTTTTTTTTTTTTTCTTATTGGGTGTGTACGCTCGCCAGAAAGACAGAGAGAGACAGAGAGATAGAAAGCAAGAAATCACCCCCCAGAGGGCACGGCCATGCCGCAATCCCTTCTCCTCCATTCTCTTAGGATCTTGGGCATGCACTCACTTGCGCCTGGTGTGAGTTTAAGCCACTGGCTCTGGGACTCGAACTGCGGTCGACTACATGGGAGTCCAGCGACATAGCCATTACGCCAACTGCTGGTCCCCAGCCTCCGCTTTCTTAATTGCTCCTGGAGTCACTCTGGATATAAGTAGACTCGGGTTGTTAGTAATCACCCCTGTGAATGGTAGTGGTCTGGATCTGTGCGCATTGCTGCTTATATTACTTCTAGCCACGTTAATTCCCTTAGAGCACCAACAGGTGGCTTGGTGGTTAAGGCACGGGATCCGACATGGCCGACTCCACAGTTTGGGTCCTGGAACTATGGGCTTGAAAAATCACACCAGGACACGTGCATGTCTGCCCCAAATCCCAAGAGACAGAAAAGGGATTGTGGTGTGGCCTTCCTGCTGGGGGTGATTACTCACTTTCTGTCTCTTTCCAGCAAGTGCAGTGCGAGTCCTATGGCGAAAAATATTTTAAAAAACCCATTAGAGCGTAACGTCATTTCTTCTTAATGCCGTGCATTTCAGGGCAGGTGTGGTCCTGGGGAGACGGTGACTACGGGAAGCTGGGCAGAGGTGGCAGCGATGGCTGCAAAACCCCAAAGCTGATTGAGAAGCTGCAAGACCTAGATGTCGTCAAAGTTCGCTGCGGAAGTCAGTTCTCCATCGCCCTGACCAAGGACGGCCAAGTGTATTCGTGGGGCAAGGGTGACAACCAGAGACTTGGCCATGGCACTGAGGAACACGTGCGCTATCCCAAACTCCTGGAAGGCTTGCAAGGTGAGTGCATCTGCGAATTTTTATAACCCCGGGAGCGGGGGTAGTTCATTTAGCAACTTTAAAAATGTTCAGTCTGTTCTTTTTGTTTCTATACATACTCTTGTCAAAGACAGAGTGTCTCCCCAACACCTTCCCCCCCACACACCGTGGGACACGGTCATTTTCAGCACGCACATGCAGGCGTGCAGTGTGGTTTTGAAGCCAGTGGGGACAAGACTTACACTGTGGTCAGCCGTGCGGGACTCGTCTCCCGTAAGCTCCGCTGCGGGGCTGGGCCAGGGCCTTCTTTCCTGACCCTGGCATTCCGTGAGCAGACCATCATCAGTTTTGGTCTAATGAGCGCTTTCCTTGTCGCTCTGCTCACTGGATGGTGGGCTTGCAGGAGGGGATCTTTTCGCTTACCGTGGTAGGGCTTTTTAGCTGTGTTATGGTCTATATGGTTTCTGAGAAATGCCCCTTCAGTTAGCCACGTTATATTTATTAACAAGGAAGGATAAAACCCTTTGCTAACACTATTTAAAGGTAAAAGTGCTGTTTGTACCTAATTTATCTTTGGCGTGAGAATAGATTTCCCTTAAAGAAAACTTTCTTAGTGAAGAGTGCGCTTCACACGGTTACGACTGGGACAGAAGAGTATAGCCTAGTAGTTAAAGATGCACCGTCTCTTCCTGAGCGAGTGTCTAAATAAGGAGAAGAGAACAGCACATCTTTTTATGCCGTACTATTTTTAAAAGGATTTTTATTTGGGGCTGACAGGCGGCATGGTGGTTGAGTGCTGGACACCCAGGTGGCCGACCGCAGTGTAAGTCCCAGACCCGGCGACTTGCCTCCTTACGCTATCTCTCTCCCTCTCTGGCCAAGTTAAAATGAACGATTGATTGAATTTAAAAAGTGAAGTTAAATGAAATAATAAAAAAAGAAGGATTTTATTTAATTTCATTCATTCCTTTTTTAAATAATTATTTTATTTTATTTATTCATTCCTTTATTTTAATTTGACCAGACACACACACACACACACACACACACACACACACACACAGAAGGGGGGAGAGTGAGAAAGCAAGCCGCCAGATCCAGGACTTGAACTGTGGTTGGTCATGTGGGAGTGTCCAGTGTCTTAACCACCACACCACCTGCTGGTTCCCGTATAACTTTTTATTATCTTTTTCATAGTTCATAGATTTTAACAAATTGTAGGTAACAAAACAGGAGTTTTAGTAACGTTCTGACAGCAAACGAATTATGTTTAATATTAAGCAACAGATTATCCTTAAGAAATTAAAAGTAGGACCAGCTTCATAGCCTACTGGTTAAGGAAAGCCAGATCCCATATGGCTGGCCTTGAATTCGACTCCAGCCTGGTACCTTCAGAAACACGCTGGGCGCGCGTGCAGTGTGCCCCCAATCCCAAGCAGTTGGAGAGGGAGAGGGGAGGCGGTCTTGGCCGATCTCGCCCCATTCGGGAGTGCTCTCTCCCCTGCTGCTCTCTCTCCACTTCTGTTCCTCCGGTGAATTAAAAGGAAAAGCAAGACAGGACAGGAAAGTCGGTCTTAAATGGCTCCGGCCTGAGCCTCCCTTGCGGTAGCAGCCACAGGCTTCGAGCTGCATCTGCTTCCCCGTCTCCTCTTAGGGAAGAAGGTGATTGATGTGGCCGCGGGCTCTACCCACTGCCTGGCCTTGACCGAGGATAGCGAGGTTCACAGCTGGGGGAGCAACGACCAGTGCCAGCACTTTGACACCCTGCGTGTGACCAAGCCGGAACCTGCTGCCCTGCCGGGCCTGGACACCAAGCACATAGTTGGAATAGCCTGTGGGCCTGCCCAGGTACTGAGGATTGCGGGCTGGGTACCTGTTTTTTTTTAAGGGAGGTTTTTGCTATAGGGCGCAGATGCTCACTGGAAAGGGAGAAACAGAGAGACAGAAAGTGAGAAGTCATCCCGGGGGGGATGGCCACGCCACAATCCCTTCTCCTCCATTCTCCTCTCGGGATCTTGGGCACGCACACAGACTCGCCTGGCATGAGATTAAGCCGCCGGGTTCAGGACTCAAACCGCGGTCGACTATGTGGGAGGCCAGCGACATAGCCATTACACCATCTGCTGGTCCTGTGGGCTGGGGACTTTGGAAAGCTTGGAGCGGCTGCTCTTTGCCAGCATGGCCCCAGAATCCCATCGACCTCGTGTGCTGCCCCGTGTTCTGAGGCTGTCCCACATTCCCTGGTTGGGCTGGGCGTCCCGGTGTGTGGGCACGTGCACACGCGTCACCTCCTCCTTTCCAGTCTGCGTGTCTTACCGTCCTCTCCTCGTCTTTCCCTGGCCGGGGCTGCTAGTGTGGTCCGGATAGGGAGGAGGGGAGGGGGCTCCGGCCGTGTTCCCGGCCGCGGGGCGCAGTCCGGCCTTTCCCCAGCAGCCTCAGCGCAGTGTTAGCCGTGTGCTCCGTCTCTGTCTTCGTCTGTCTGTAGGTGCCTCATCGATGAAGGCAGTTCCTTCCCACTTTTTTGAAGTTTTCTGAACCTTGGATGGGTGTTGCAATTCGCCAGGTCCCCTTTCTTCTCAGAGGACGTGCCTGTGCAGCTTTCCTTCTCCCCGTTAGCCTGTCAGTGTGAAGGGACGCTGCGTTCCCGTACTGACCAGGCCTGCATCGCGGGGTAACCCTCCCCCGGAGGTGGCTGTGTGTGGTCGGAACTGATTGTGAATCATTTATTTTTCTTTCCAGTTTTCGCTATAGGGCTCATGTGATCATGAGAGAGAGAGACAGAGAGAGAGAGAGACAGAGAGAACTCACCCCGCAGGGGTCACGGCCACACTGCAGTCCCTTCTCCGTTCTCCTCTTGGGATCTTGGGCACACATGCACGCGTGCCCCGTGTGCTCATCAGGCCTCCGGGTCTGGGACTGGCACCGCACGGTCAGCCACGTAGGATCCAGGGCTTACCCTTCATGCCCCCTGCTGGCCTGCAGACACTTTGGAGGGTTTTTCTGTTGATGCCCATCAGATAGTGGCTTGTGAGTTTCTTCGTGTTGCCTGCTCTGATGTATCGGTAAAGCTGGCTGCACGAGTGTCGAGTCTGCACCTGTTGGTGCCACTTGGCACACAAGCCACACGGGAGGGCCAGGAAAGGGGCGTCGTGGCATCTGATGGACCAATCCGCTGGGGCGGGGGTCTCACATGAAGTACCTTGTCTGAAAACTGTATCGGCACCAGTCTCCCTCTCTTTATTTCTAGAGCTGTCTAGACTAGGTGGTGTTTCTTCTTTGAATGTCTGTGAGTCCATCTGAACGTGGAGATTTCTCTCTCTAAAGGTTTCAGACCGCAGATTCTGTGTAGCAGGCACAGAACTGCTGAGGCACGTCCGTCTCTGCGGGTGGTTTCCTGCCTGTGGCCCTGCATGCTCCGCTTCAGCTGAGGTTAAGCTCACTGGCGGTGCTGTCCCGTCCTCCTAGCTCCTTGCTGTCCCTCGCCCGCCCTCTTCCTGGGAAGCGGAGTGGACGCGGCTCTTGTCACTTGTGTGCTGCGTCAGGTGGACCGAAAGCCTCGCTGCCCCTGTCGTCGCACAGCCGTGGTTTTGAGGGAAGAGATTTCTCAGAACCTCTCCTGGTTTTTTAGGTTTTTGCTGTAGGGCGCATGTACTTGCTAGAGAGACAGAGACAGTGAGAGAGAAAGTGAGAAATCACCCCAGGGGTGGCCATGCTGTAATCCCTTCTCCTCCATTCTCATCCTGGGATTTTGGACACTCATGCACACATGCCCAGTGTGATTTTCAAGCCAGCAGATCTGAGACACGAACCGTGGTCAGCTGTGTGGGAGGCCAGCACCTTAACCACCTTGCTATCTGCTGGCATCACCGCTCTACTTTTTTATGTGTCCAAATGAGCCAGGGCAAGTGAAATGGGAGACAGAGTTGGAAGCTTCTGGGATGTGAGCTGGCAACCACAGAAGCTCACGCAGACATGGCAGCAGGCGGGAGGAACAGTGACAGGCGGGCGTCTGCTCGCACCCGGCGGTGATGGCCCTGTGCGGCAGGCGTGGCGCGACTGGTCCTTCACAGGCTCTTGCACTTCTCCCGTAGAGCTTCGCGTGGTCCTCTTGCTCCGAGTGGTCCATCGGCCTGCGTGTCCCCTTCGTGGTGGATATCTGTGCAATGACGTTTGAGCAGCTGGACCTCCTGCTGCGGCAAGTGAGTGAGGGCATGGACGGCACCGCAGACTGGCCCCCTCCTCAGGAGAAGGAGTGCATGGCGGTGGCGACGCTGAACCTCCTGCGACTCCAGGTGACCGCGGTCTCCCCACCCCTCGTGTCTGTGTCTTGAGGACATGTAAGGATGTTCGTGCATAGCGGAGGGCGTGGCTCGACCAGTCAGGTGAAAGGCTCCAAAACACGTTGTGAGGAGTAAAGGGTGCAAGGCTCACTAACCTCAGTCCGTGGCTCTGTGTCCACCTGTACTCGGGGAGTGTCCGGGCAGGGCCTCTGCTGCTCTGTCCTCCTGCACGCAGGGAGTGTCCGGGCTGGGCCTCTGCTGCTCTGTGTCCACCTGCACGCAGGGAGTGTCCGGGCTGGGCCTCGGCCTCTGCTCCTCTGTGTCCTCCTGCACACAGGGAGTGCCCGGGCTGGGCCTCTGCTGCTCTGTGTCCACCTGCACGCAGAGAGTGACCCGATGGGGCCTCTGCTCCTCTGTGTCCTCCTGCACACAGGGAGTGCCCGGGCTGGGCCTCTGCTGCTCTGTGTCCACCTGCACGCAGGGAGTGTCCCGACGGGGCCTCTGCTGCTCTGTGTCCACCTGCACGCAGGGAGTGTCCAGGCTGGGCCTCTGCTGCTCTGTGTCCACCTGCATGCAGGGAGTGCCCGGGCTGGGCCTCTGCTGCTCTGTGTCCACCTGCACACAGGGACTGTCCGGACGGGGCCTCTGTTGCTCCGATCGCTCGTCAGCACTTCCCGGGGGGCAGCCTCTGCCTTGCCGTTTGCTGCATACATGGGAATGACAGGCTGAGGCTGCTGCTGACCAAGGAAAGGCCAAGCCCGGCCACGAGGCTGGTGTCTCTCCTGAACTGACAAAGCTCTGTTCGGCAGAGAGCGAGCTCCCTAAGGCACATGCTTGCCCCTCAGGTGAAGGTCAACATAGAGAGTATGGAAATGCCCTTGCCAGTTTAGGGCCAGCAGGTGGCCTGCTCCCTAAGGCTCTGCACTCCCACATGGCCGAAGGCTGCGGGAGAGACGGCGAATTAGAAAGCAGCAGTTGCACCGACCACGGTCCGAAGGGCACCCTCCCAGGTTGATAGAGGGGCCAGCCTCTCCACAGCCCGTCAGAGCTCTCTGCCTCGTGCGCGGGTGAGGGCTTACTTGTTCTGTAACTTCAGTTACGGTCTTCCCCCAGTCTCAGGTTTTACATCTCGATTAAGTTGTGAGACTTGTCACTTCATCCCTGAGATGACTTCCTTTGGTATCTCCTCCCTCCTGAGGAAGCCGGCTCGGTACATGTCGATGGGCCTCACTTCCACCCAAGGATCGCAGCTTCTGTGCGTTTACGCAGAGGGCGCGTGCACTCCCTGGACGGGGACGGGACAAAGCACCCCCACGTTCCCGGGCTTAGCCCTGCTGCCGTCCCTCCCCACACTTCCCCCTCCCTGCAGCTCTGGGCACACGTGCACACGTGCCCTGCGTGTTTCTAAAGCTGCCGGGTCTAGGCCTCAGACCGCGTATCCAGCCATGTGGCCCCAGCTGCCTTAACCACCATGCCGCAGGCTGGCCCATTTTTTAAAGATTTGCTTTAACTTTATTCATTTATTTACTTATATGGCCCTGCTTTTAATTTGACCAGAGAGGGACAGAGACAGAGACAGAGAGAGAGAGAGAGAGAGAGAGAATGAGAAAGCAAGTTGCCAGGTCTGGGACTCGAACTGCAGTTGGCCCTGTGGGAGTCTAGCACTCTTAAACCACGACGCCACCTGGCGCCCCCACAGCTCTCTCAGTGGTATCAGGTCTGGCTTTGTGCGCTGCCTCAGGGGCTGCCAGAGCCCTCTGTGAGCACCTCCGGTTCAGCCTGTCCTCCCGCCGGCTCTGTGCGCATGTTTGTGACGTGAGGACTGTCCACTGGAGGGACTGCATGTCCTTGGACGCCTCCTCACAGCGGGCCTGGCGTGCCCTTCTGGTAGGGTGGTGGGGTGGTGGGGTCTCCTCCCGGCCTGGGCCTGGTGTGGGCACGGCCCGCTGTCAACAAGTGGTCCTGGGCAGCTCCCAGGCAGCTGCAGGAGGCCCGGGTGCAGTTCTCTTTGTGGGCAGTAGGGGGCCACCGCTGTTCCCTGTGGAAGGTTGGGCCAAGCCTGGAGGGCCCAGGCCTGCCGTGGGCGTCTCTGGGTGGTCCGCTTTGCCCTGGAGGAGCCTCGTAGCTTCAGCCTGGCTCTGCATGTCCCCACGGCTTTCTGGACACCTCCTGCCCGTTATTGCTCTGCAGGTTGTCGAGGGTGGGTGGAGGCTGCCACTTCTGCATTGGCTGATTCTCCAACTGACCTTGAGCTTTCTCATGTACACGTTCCTGGTGGGGTTAAAAACAACTTTCTATAAAATACCTTACAATGGATTCTCAACGTCTACGGGCAAGAATTTTCCGAGTCCAGCTTATAAAGTTCGTACTGGGCAGTCCCTTGGTTATCTAAAGTGGGGTTTACTAGTCTGTACTACGCCCTCGACCCCATGCTCTCAGGGTGCTGAGTGACGGCGTCTCTCTCCTTCCAGCTGCACGCTGCCATTAGTCACCAGGTCGACCCGGAATTGCTTGGTCTGGGTCTGGGCAGCACCCTCCTGAACAGCCTGAAGCAGACCGTGGTCACCCTGGCCAGCAGCGCCGGCGTGCTGAGCACCGTGCAGGCGGCCGCTCAGGCCGTGCTACAGAGCGGCTGGTCGGTGCTGCTGCCCACCGCTGAGGAGCGGGCCCGGGCGCTCTCTGCCCTTCTGCCCTGCGCAGGTGGGCCAGGGAGGAGAGGGCGGGCACAGGTGGGGTGCTGCTTCTCTCGGGTCAGTTTCAGGCTGCTCCTCCTTGTCTAGTTTCAGGCAATGAAGTCAACGTGAGTCCCGGCCGTCGGTTCATGATTGATCTCCTGGTGGGCAGCTTGATGGCTGACGGAGGGCTGGAGTCGGCCTTGAACGCGGCCATTACTGCGGAGATCCAGGTAAGGCCCCGGGGGTGCACAGGAGCCCATGGGGTGGCTCACCAGGCCGCGAGGGGGAGCAGGCACGCCGACCCCAGCAGAGGGAGCCGCAATTTGCTGGGCCTGAGTGAGCGTGTGCTATGCCAGGTGGCTTTGCCCCTTACATCCAAACCAGCGTGTGTGAGCCGTCGCTCTCCCGTCCTCGTGGAGCAGATGGTGGGCGTGGGCAGATCACAGTGATGTTTGTGGAGCCAGTGGCACGGGTGAAGATTTTAGGTCTCTCCAGAGAGGCTGGAGACCCTGCAGTGGCAACGTGGAGACCGGGCCTAGAGGACCAGCAGCCTGTTTCGACGCTGAGTCCCCAGGCACTGGGGTTTCATTGGGGCGCATGCAGTGGCTGGGCCTCCAGGCATGGGGGCTAGGATTCGCTTGGACCTCCACACTTCGCACTTGCTGGTAAACCCATCGGTAACCAGTCTCTGCCTGGGCATTACAGGACATTGAAGCTAAAAAAGAAGCACAGAAGGAGAAAGAGATCGACGAGCAGGAAGCGAGTGCCTCAACTTTCCACAGAAGCCGGACTCCCCTGGACAAAGACCTCATCAACACGGGCATCTGCGAGTCCGCTGGCCGGCAGTGTCTGCCGCTCGTGCAGCTCGTCCAGCAGCTCCTCAGGTGGGTGCGGCCGTGGCCCGCTTCCTGGTGCTCCCGCTTCCTGGTACTCCCGCTTCCTGCAGGCTGCGTGTGGTGAAGACCCTGGAAATGGTCTAGGGCAGGTTTCGGTCAGCAGCAGACCCTTGGATGTGGACGACAGGGGAGGCTGGTGTGTGTGGAAATGCCGCAGAGTCTCACGGCAGAGAAAGTGCAGTGGGCATCGGGCAGTAGCCGTGTGAAGGGTCCCTCCCTCAGCAGCAAGCAGGCAGATGAGGGGGGAATAGCAGGCAGATGTGGTGGGAATCACAGTGGCAAGAGTATTTACAACTGGCCGGGCCACCGCCTCTTTCTGCACACTGCAGCCGTGCACGTCCTGCTTCGCGAGGCAGCTTTGAGCGCAGGACAGATGACGTGGTAGAGTGGCGAGGCTTGCTCTGGAGGTGGGCCGGGCGGAGGTGAGCCCCGTCAGGCTCGGGCTGTCAGCAGACGCTGTCTGGCAAAGGCAGACCTTTTGGTAACAGGCCGTTCAAAAGAGTGAAAGAGCAAGGTGAGTTTGAAAGGCATCTGCTCGAAATGGGAAATGATGGCCCCTCTGTTTAGCGGTCAGAATGTGGCTCCTGGTCTGTCTTACTTTCCGTGCGGAGAGTGGAGCCCCGCGGGCAGGCTCAGGCACTGGGCCAGGGCGGGGGCCCTGGGAGGGACAGGGTATTTCAGACATTCTGACCGTTCACTTCACCAGTGGGAAACGAGCGGATCGCCTCAGCATAGTCGGGGTAGTGGCCAGAGCTCGGAAACTGTTCTTAGGAAATCCCAGCGTGCCTGCTTATATGAAATGGGCCGGAGAAGAACAGCTTGCTCATTTGTTTATTTCATGAGAGAGTAAACTAGAGACAGAGACAGGAACCCACTGGGGTCGTCACGCTGCAATGCCCCCCCCAGCTTAGCCAGCTCTGGTCCCGTGTGCACGTGTGCAGCCAGCATGCCCAGGGAGTGCTAGAACACAGACACAGGCCCTTTCCTGCATGGGCCCTTTCCCGGCCTAGACTTGCCCCCTTTAAGTAGGCTCCTGCAGCCTTCGGGCTACACGTTTATGAGGCAAAGGGGCGTCGTGTCTTCACAGCCTCCTGAGCGTCTCTGGTCGGTCTGACCGAGGCTGTGGTCCTTGCCGCACCTCTGACGCGTCCCAGGGGATGCCATGTGTGCTCTGACTTTCTGACCGTAGTTTGCGTCATTTCCCCTCCCTTCCCTTCCCTTTTTGACAAAATGACTAGTTTGGCTCTGTGGTCCTCTCCCCCCGCAGAAACATCGCGTCTCAGACGGTCGCCAGGTTGAAGGATGTGGCCCGCCGGATTTCCTCGTGCCTGGACTTGGAGCAGCACAGCCGCGAGCGATCCGCCTCGCTGGACCTGCTGCTGCGGTTTCAGCGGCTGCTGATCAGTAAGCTGTACCCAGGAGACAACAGCGCCCAGAATGCGGATGCTTCCAGTAAGCCACCTCCAGCGTGGGTCTCGTGTGCTCCCTGCTTCTACCCCGGCCTTTCAGTGCGCTCGCTCTGTCCTCCCTGGTGGTTCCTGTGCCGTCCAACGCACCTCCTTAGGGAGTTTCATTTCACATCCCTATTTTGCCGGACTGTTTCTACATTAGACTCATCAATGTTTTTAATTCCATTTCCTCAACATTTAAATTCTTTTTAATTTTTCAGAGAGATTTTTGCTATAGGGTACATGCACTCTCCAGAGAGACAGAAAAGCAAGAAATCCCCTCTGCAGGGGGATGGCCATGCCACAGTCCCTTCTCATCCATTCTCCTCTTGGGTTTTGGGAATGCACACACATGCATGGGTCCAGGGCTCAGACCATAGTCAACTCTGGGAGTCCAGCCGTGTTAACTGGTACGCCATCTGCTGGGCCCAGCATTTAAATGGTTTAAACGTGGGAAATCGTGTCCTTCATGCTCAGTTTGTTCTGTGTGTTAGTTCTGGAAGGCTGGAGGGAGACCGATGTGACGCAGCCAGCGACAGACCACTCCCGTGCTGTGTGGGAGCCTGCTGGTGCAGTGGGGGAACGGCTGTGGGAGAGTACCTGGGCCTGGGGTACAGCCCCGCAGAGCTGGGCAGTCCCAGAGGTGCCTGTGAGGGTGCAAACCCAGTGATGTGGCGGGCAGCTCCTTTTCACAAGCAGCTGCTGGCTCTTCAGCCAGTGGTGGAAAGCTCTGCTGCTTTGCTTTGATGTTCTTGTGGCTAGTTTCTGCCAAATACCTCTTTTGTTTCCTTTGATGCCTGTACATGTAGACAGAGCACCCCGCAGTCCCTCATCTGGGATCCTGGGCATGCACGTGCGTGCCTGCATTTCTGTCCATCTGCCGGGTCTGGGATTCTAACCCTGCTTGGCCGTATGGTAGATGGCTTCCTCTGCTCGATGCCTGACAGCTGTGGGATGGGTGGCCCCAAGTGATCTAGCTCCTTGTACAGAGAGGCTGGGCGCTTGTAGGTGACAGAAGTGTTCAGGCTCAAGTCGGCGAGTCTGTATTCTGAAAGTGGTGACTGTCTTGAAGAGAGACGGTCACCAGGACTGAAAAGCTGTGATGAGCCACGTAGGTGGAGAATTCGTAAGCCTGAAAGACGCCGGACTTTGCTCGTCAGGAACTGCGCACGAGCTCTAAAGAGACGGTCTGTGCTGGATGTCGAGCTTCAAAGACCTCTGAGTTACACCTTGCGTGATAAGACTCCCACCGTTTCTAAGGGCCACGTAGTGCAGAGTGTAAAATTCACATGGTCGGAGTTGCTTTCCTTCTGGCTGCCTGGCAGGAAAAGCTCGCTCTAAGGACTGAAGGGCGATAGGCTTGTGCTGGAGGAAGTGACGTGGGTGGCGTGGTGCGCGGGTGAGAAAGCGACGTGGGTGGCGTGGTGCGCGTCCGAGAGAGCGACGTGGGTGGCGTGGTGCGCATCTGAGAGAGCGACGTGGGTGGCGTGGTGTGGGTCCAACAGAGCGACGTGGGTGGCGTGGTGCGCGTCCGAGAGAGCGACGTGGGTGACGGGGTACGCGTCCGAGAGAGCGACGTGGGTGGCGTGGTGCGTCCGAGAGAGCGACGTGGGTGGCGTGGCCGGCGATCACCGTGAGTAGAGGGCTGCAGCTTTCCCACTGTCTTCAGGTCCGGAGCTGATGGGCGTCGGGTCCCTGCTGAAGAAGTACACAGCCCTTCTGTGCACGCACATCGGCGACATCCTGCCCGTGGCAGCGAGCATCGCGTCCAGCAGCTGGCGCCATTTCGCAGAGGTGGCCTGCATCGTGGAAGGGGACTTCACTGGTGCGTTTCCTGCTGTGGGCACAGGTCGTGGAGGGGCGGGTGGAAGCTGCACGCATCCTTTCTGGGTACCTGCCTGCCTCGGCCCTGCACACGCTCGCCCTGGCGCCCGGTCTCCTGCTGTCTGAGTTCCTGATCGTCCTGTCATTAAGCCAGCTGGGGAGGTTGCTTCGCAGCAGGCGTCGTTGGTGGCTTAAATGGACACCATCGTTATCATCTGTGCTTCAAAAATGAGGACAGTGGCGACGGAACTTTTCCTGACAGCATGGAAACCACGCTCCTTTTAGAACCTGTGTAAACTACTGTACTGCATCGTACTGTCTTTTTTTTTTTTTGGAGAGATTTTCACTGTAGGGCGCGTGCGCTCGCCAGACAGACAGAGAGAGACAGAGAGACAGAAAGCGAGAAATCACCCCCCAGCGGGGATGGTCACGCCGCAATCCCTTCTCCTCCATTCTCCTCTCGGGATCCTGGGCACGCACGCACACGCGCCCGGCGTGAGTTTTAAGCCACCGGGTCCGGGACGCGAACCGCAGTCGACTACGTGGGAGTCCAGCGACATAGCCATTACGCTAACTGCTGGTTCCCTACATCGTACTGTCTTAAAGCTAATTTCGTGAGCCTAGAGCTTTTCCCTTTGAGAGATTTTTGCTATGGGGCATGTGTGCTTGCCAGAGACATAGAGAGACAGAAAGTGAGAAATCACCCCCCGGGGGGATGGCCACACCACAGTCCCTTCTCCATTCTCCTCTCAGGATCCTGGGCACACACGCACACGCACCTAGCATGAGTTTTTAAAGTCACCGGGTCTCGGACTTGAACGTGGTCGATTGACCGTGTGGGAGGCCAGCGATGTAACCGTTATGTCATCAACTGGTCCCTAGAGCATTGTTTCTGAGAGCCTTTTCTTTGTGATAGAAAGCATATAGGGAAACACTTCATTTTCTGAATAAAACACTATAGTTCGTAGGTCTGTGTTTGAAACCCAGCATTACTGAAAGGTCTTTGTGTAACTCGGGGGCTCCGCTAGGTCGTTACCGTTTCCGCGTCTAAAATGAAAGAGAAAATGCTCCTGCAGAGACAGGCCAAAGGGCAGGCACCCCTTATCTTATGACTTTCCAGAATTTCAGTGTAGATCAAGTGTGTAAGGCGCTCTTATTTCAGTTTTAATCCTTTTTTCCCTTTCCGTGGGTAGGCGTCCTCCTCCCAGAACTGGTGGTCTCTATTGTGCTTCTGCTCAGCAAGAACGCTGCTCTCATGCAAGAGGCGGGGGCCGTGCCTCTGCTGGGCGGCCTGCTGGATCACCTGGACCGGTTCAACCACCTGGCACCGGGGAAGGAGCGGGATGACCACGAGGAGCTGGCCTGGCCCGGCATCCTGGGTATGGCACCCTACCCCCAGGGGTCACTGAGCCTCGTCCTGTCTCCACTCGCGTTTGCATCTCGAGCGGCGTTTCACAGAGGAGGGCCAGCCCAGCCATTCGCTTTCCCTGTCGTGGTCACACAAGTGGGAGATGAAGGTAGTCCAGACCAGAAGGGAGGTAGACTTTCACACTGGTCCTTGTTAAATCCTGAAATGGACGCTTTTAGAAAGTCAGGAAAGCCCTTTCCTGGGCAGCGTCTCCGGGAGGTGCTGTTGAGGCGGGTAGGTACGCCCGGCTCAGGAGGCGGGGGAGGCAGAGGCTTTCCCAAGCCAGTGCTTTTCTCCAGTGTGAGCCGAGTGCTGCCCCAGTGGCGCTGTTCCATCGTGCACGCCAGAGCAGAGCGGAACTTGTCTGCCGAGGTGTGAGGTCGGTGGGTCTGAGGCTGAGTGACCATGCGCTGTGCGGTTCTGGATTCCTGGCCTTAGAATCACTAGGCGTGATGAAGCTTTGGTTTTTTAAAAAAATGATGTCCTTTATTTTATTTAGTATCAATGTTATTTTTAATTTGACCAGAGTGAGGTACAGAGAGAGACAGTGAGTGAGAAAGTGAGCTGCCAGGTCCAGGACCTGAACTGTGGTCAGCCATGTGGGACTCCAGTGCCTTTAACCACCGCACCACCTGCTGGCCCCTAAGCTTTAATTTTTTTTTTTTTTTTGGAGAGGTTTTTGCTATAGGGCGCCTGCACTCCCCAGACAGACAGAGAGATAGAGACAGAAAGCGAGAAATCACCCCCCAGGGGGGATGGTCACACCGCAATCCCTTCTCCTCCATTCTCCTCTCGGGATCTTGGGCATGCACGCACACGAGCGCGGCGTGAGTTTTAAGCCACCGGGTCCGGGACGTGAACCGCGGTCGCCTACGTGGGAGTCCAGCGACATAGCCATTATGTTAACTGCTGGTTCCCTAAGCTTTAATTTTTAATCAAGTATGAAACTTGAGCTAGGTGGGCTTTTCCTTCTTTGTCCATTTTTACTTTATTTTTTATTTACCAGGGAGTAGGTACACTTGCCAGAGAGAAAGAAAGGAGGAGAAAACCGCCCCCCACCCCCCGTGGGGCACAGTCATGCCAGTCTCTCCCCACCTCTCCATCTGGTTGGGATTTTAAGCATGCATGCACGTGCACCCGGTGTGTTCACAACACCCCCCACTGGGCCCAGGATTTGAGCCACACGGTTGAGCACGCAAAATCTGCCGCCCTCACCCACGAGTCCACGGGGCCAGCTCTCTCTTCCCAGTGTAGATAGCCTTCTTTGTAGCACAGGAGTGTCCGGTACGGAGTAGCAGTTGCCCTGAGGAGAGCAGCCCCAGATGTCGGCCCCCGTGTTGAGGCGCTCCATGTAGTTAGTGCCTCCAGCACCGCTTGTCCCCTTTCACTCAGGAGTCAGCCTAAATGCTACTTTTTATCTCGGCTCTTACTAGGTATGATTGAAGGCATTTAATTTGCTCAGCGGTTTACTCCTTTTCAAACCTTTCTAAGTTGTGGAATACACACGAAACAGTTCCTTGATCACAGAGAAATCTGTGTCACCTCCCTCCCAGTTAGGAAACAACATGGCAGGGCCCTCCTAAGCGTGCCTCCATCTCTGCCTCTCACTTCTCTCGAGTACCTTATCGTTGCTTTAATTAAACGCAGCTCCGTTCTTGGCTGCTGGGTTCTCTGAGTGGGGTTCCATGCTCGCGCCCCTCGTGCTGGCTCATCTCCACTGTTCGGCTCTGTCCCCGAGCCCTGTCATTCCTATCACGGTATTGGTGGTGTACCCTTGTTTGTGCCGCAGTGGAGCCATCCCACCTGTTCCCAGGGTTAGATTGCAGTGCCGAGCTGGTCTGACCGTCCCGGGTGTCACTTGGTGGAACGGCTGGTCCGCAGAGGACGCTTGCCTGTGGGAGGCCAGCTGCCCGTGGCGGAAGTGCTGCTGCGTCTGCACTGCAGGGGAAGTGCTCCCGCGCCTCCTCCCACCCAGCCTGGCACTGCTGGGTCCCTGCTGCTCAGTCCTCGTGAGGCGTGCAGCCTTCCCCACCCAGCCTGGCACTGCTGGGTCCCTGCCGCTCAGTCCTCCAGAGGCGTGCAGCCTCCCCTTGTGTGCATGCACCAGCAGGCGCCCTTGTCTGCGAGGCGCCAGTTCAAGTCCTCTGCCCGTTGTTCGTCTTTTCATTTCACGCTATCTCTGTCCGGAAGAGAGGGATGGAGGAAGAAAGACGGGTGCCTTCTACAGGGTCTCGTCACCCTGCGCCCCCAAGCTGCACCTTCCCCACTCGCAGCTACAAGGCCACACGTGCACACTCCCGGCGTGGTTCGGGTCTCCCGGTCCTCTGCCCTGCACAGGGCGCTCTGCTGTGCCGCCCCGGCTGGCCTGGGTGCCGTTTCCCACCGTGTGCAGTCGCAGCAATGTTTCTGATGGGCAGAAGTTAGTGTGAATGAAATGCAAGCTATCTTTTTATGTCAGTTCATTTTGTGCTTTAAGCAATCTTTATTCACATATTCTTCCATATTATATCTTAAAAGTCCTTCTGTATTTTTTTTTTTAATTTGCAAAGGCACGTACTTTCATCAGAGAGAAAGAGAAAGAGAGAGAGAAAGAGACAGCACCCCCCACCCCCAGGGACTGGCCATGCCATATCCCTTCTCCACTTCCCTCTCTTGTTGAGATTTTGAGCAGGTGTGCACATGCCTAGTATATTTTTCAGACCGCTGGGTCCAGGCCTCAGACCACACAGTCGACCTCGTGGGGCTCAGTCACCTTCACCACTACGTCACCCGCGGGCCTGGCTTTGTGGTATTAACGTTAACATTTAGTGCAGTAGTGCCCTTGGAGTGGACTTCCGTGCTGCATGGCCCCGCCTTCCCTTCTGGGAAAGTGGGCCTGGGCGCGTGTGCTGCTGGTCCTCTGCAGAGCCCTGGCTTTGCCCTCGCGGTCTGGTCAGCACGAGGTGCGGGAAGTACGCGGCCCAGCCTGACCCCCCCTGCTGTCCCCGGGGTCTCCTCACCCCGGGAGCCCTGTCACTTCCCAGGCCACCGATCAGGTTTTCCTGTTTAGTGGGTCATTAAGAATTACCGCCTTTTATTAATTCGATCATTTTTACTCGGTAGCTTTCCTTTTTCCCAACACGTGCATTTAGAAGTACAGACATCCCCAGGCATAGATATGGCTGTATGTCGTAAGTTTTTTCTAGTGTTTTTCCCATCGCTCATTTCAGTTCATTTTCTAGTTTCCATGTGACTTTCTTTTTGTAATTTCGGGTTACTTTGAAGAAAGTGTTCTGTGATTTCAAGTGTCTGGAGAGTGTTTTGCCGCCCGCCTCTAGTCCGAGTGCCTGTGGTCAGCACACGCGCCGCAACCTGGTTTCTTCAAAGCCTGTTGAGCCTTGCGCTGTGGACTGGCGCATGGCCACAGCCGAAACCCAGACCGCGTGTGCTTTATGTTTACCCTCTGTACTTAGGGAGGCTGTCGGGGCCTTTGTGGTGTCAGTTAGAGACAGGCGTGGCACACCGCCGTGGCACTTAGGGGTTGGTTTCTCCGTGTAGTCCTTTCACACAGTTTGTTTTTGCAGTTTCCCTGTTGACCTACCGAGTGACTGATTTGGTTTCTGTATATACAGAGTCATTTTTTACAGGTCAGAACTGTAGAAATAACGAGGAAGTGACGCTTATCCGCAAAGCCGACCTGGAGAACCACAACAAGGATGGGGGCTTCTGGACCGTGATCGACGGGAGAGTGTACGACATAAAGGACTTCCAGACACAGTCGCTGACGGGGAGCAGCATCCTCGGTGAGTGTGCTTCGCGCCTCACAGGGCAACGCAACGCGGAGCTTCTCAGCAGAGCAGTTGGCTTAAAGATGGTGCCTGGGGACCAGCAGATGGCGTAATGGCTATGTCGCTGGACTCCCACGTAGTTGACTGCGGTTCGAGTCCTGGACCTGGTGGCTTAAAAACTGATGCCCGGCGTATGTGTGCGTGCGTGCCCAAGATCCCAAGAGGAGAATGGAGGAGAAGGGACTGTGGCATGGGCATCCTCCCTAGGGGGATTTCTCACTTTCTGTCTCTCTGTCTCTCCAGTGAGCACACACATCCTATAGCAAACATCTCTCAAACAAACAAAAACCCTCCGTAGGTCTGCCCCAGCCCCGCGGGTTTTATGTACCTGTGACGGCGTCCATCTTGTCCGCAGACTGAGGCCCGTGTGGAGAGTCTCTCATCAGTACACACATTCCGAGCCCTGAGCCAAGCTGGCCCTGCCACCCTGGGGTAGGGCGGGAGCTCCGTGTGCCCTGGAAGCCCTCTCTCTGGCATTAACCTGCCCGATTGCTTCCCAGTCACCATTCCCACCATAGCTGCCTTGGCAAGTGGTGTTGAAGTCGTGTTGCTTCTTGTTCAGCTCAGTTTGCAGGAGAGGACCCGGTGGTGGTTTTGGAAGCTGCTCTGCAGTTTGAAGACACGCGGGAGTCGATGCACGCCTTCTGTGTTGGCCAGTATTTGGAGGTGAGGCTCTGCACCAGAGGGACACGGGGGACATCCATGGAGACCCTCTGCATGTGTTTGTGACGGGCGATGTTTTTTACCTGCAATGCTGAGATCTAGGCGTCTGAGTCAGCAGGACGAGTGGGCAGCGTGGCGTGGCTGTGGAAGTGTCCCCGAACTGGCTTTCCACACACTCAGGGTCTGTGATGTGCTGGCCTTGAAGCCATTTCAGCAGTTATTCACTTGTGAGAAATACTGATACTATTTTATCAAAAAAGACATTAAATCTTGGTCTTTACAATTTTATTGTCAGCTTGTGTAGAAATTTGGGATGGTAGGCTAGCACGTGGCATGGTGGTTAAGATGGCTGGGTCTCACGTGGCTGACTGCATGGTTAGAGCCCCAGACCCGGTGGCTTGAGAAACACACTAGGCACGTGTGCCTGCATGCCCAAAATCCCCAAAGGAGGGAGAGATGGAGGAGAAGGGATTGCAGAGTGACCATCCGCCATGGGGGTGCTTTCTTGCTTTCTTTCTGTCTCTCTCTGGTGAGTGCATGTGCCCTCTGGCAGAATTTTAAAAATAATAAGAGAGAAATTTGGAATGACTTACTATATGTATTTCTTGGGAAGAACTGTATAGAAGCCTAATTTTTAGAACTATGTCCTTGTGAGGCCAGCAGGAAGCGTGGTTAAGGGCACTGGACTCCCACATGGCTGACCACAGTTCGAGTCCCAGCCCTGGCAGCTTGCTTTCTCGCTTTCCTTCCCTCCCTCCCTCTCTCTCTCTCACTCTGTCCCTCTGTGGTCAAATTAAAATAAATAAATAAAGTTAAATAAAATAATTCTAAAAAGAAAAAGAACCGTGTCCTTGTTAAATGCCCGTGAGACTGGAGTGCCTACACTGGGACTTGCATTTGGGTACCCAGTTAGCGAGAGGCCATGACATTAATTCAGTGCTGTCAGGTAGGGCTTAGGCGTTCTGTGAAGGGGACATTACCTTGGCATGTCCTTTGTCTGTGGGGACCGGGGAAGTCTGAGAGTATTCGTATGTGAACTGTCGCTCTCCTTGCTCAGCGCGTTGGCTCTTGGTCAGAATGGTTTCATTTTCTCCACACTTGTGGTCCTGGCTCTGTAACTTACCGTACATCTGTCAGTTGTATTGATGTCTCACGGGGCCCTTCACGTGTGTAACAGTGCCCCGTGCTGGCTCCAGTTTCCTGTGGGACACCCTTGCAAACCCCTGCCCTGTGCCTCTGCCTTGCACCAGGAGCGCTGTGGGTTTATGTGGTGCCTGCTGCTTCTCTCGGGCACTGCATCTTTAGGGCAGGGACTGTTGCCCTTTCTGGTTGTATGTTTGTGTTGAACCCCTTTCTCTCAGACTGAGGGTGAAATTTGTCTTCCCAGCCTGACCAAGAAGTCGTTACCGTGCCTGACCTGGGAAGCCTGTCTTCGCCTCTGATAGACACGGAGCGGAACCTGGGCCTGCTGCTCGGGCTGCACGCGTCCTACCTGGCAGTGGGCACGCCGCTGTCCCCCGTGGAGGTGGAGTGCGCCAGTAAGAGCAGCACTGCGTGTCCCCCGCGGGCAGGCTCCTTGTGAAGGAGACGCCTGCACGCGGCTCCAGGGAGGAGGGTGTCTGGCCGTGACAGCGGTCCTGACACCGTGTGGGGCCTGGGGGGTGGCGGTGAGGGCTCCACCAAGCACAGCAGGGGTGCCAGCTGCCCAGAGATGCTGCGGGCAGGGCTGGCTGGGCACCACGAGGCCTGTGCGTAGCCTAGGCTGCCCCAGAGGGCCCTGCCACCCTGCCGGCCTCCTCAGAACGCGCTGTGCCGTGGGAGGACGGCTTCACTTGAGGCAGCGAGCAGGTTAGGACCAGGCTGCTCCCGGGCGGGGCCGCTGACCATGCAGAAGATGGGCTCTGGCAGGAAGCCTGGTGCGTGGGGGGGTGAGGAGGGGAGCCGGGCCTGCTTTAGCAGAGCCTCTGCGCAGCTAGAGAGGGTTCCTGAGTGCTCTAGGTCGAGCTGTCAGCTGGGCACCGAGCCGCACACGTGCACGGCAGACGTGCTTGCCATGCAAATGGGCTCCGGAGCAGCGTTTGCTAACGCGGGCGCTGAGACCTGTGAGGTGCCACTCTGGGCGGCTGCCGGTGCATTTTCTGCAGTTCCCATCCGCCCTGGCACGTGGCCTGTCCTTGGTGGACTGGCCCGTCGGCCGCCTCCCCCCACTCACAATACCCTTAGCTCGCTGGAGCTGCCATTCCTGAGGTCTGTCCTTCTGTTAGGGTGTGTGTCGTTTGTCACATACACTCTCTCCTTTGTAGCAGCGCCCACCCGAGGACGTGCTTTGTCTCGCCGACACCCTTCAGGCGTGTTGTCCCCTGCCCGAAGCGCAGCTTCTGTCTCCTCCCAGGTCGCAGCTCAGTGGCTGCTTCCAGAACGCGTGACCCTCAGATAGGGAGCACTGTCCTGTCACTTACACAGTCCCCGTTGCAGGGGGGTGACTGTACAAGGGGAGCCATGCTGCCACTCTCCCTCTTAAGGCGTGCATCCGGTGTTCACGCGGGGTCTCCACATGGAGCTCAGGCAGCTGGGGAGTGGGCTGGAGGCCCTGCGCAGAGTCCAGGTGCCCACTGAAGTTGTGTTGAACCGGACCAGTACCTGCGTTCAGCAAGGCCCAGGAGCCATGGGTCCATCTGTAAATGTGTCACACGTGACTCTCACATGAGTCAGGTGGACGCTCAGCTCCGAGGGCGAGCACCCGTCTTTTCAGCACTTTCCAGAGTGGCGCACTCAGCCTTCTCTGTAATGTGTGTCTTCTAGAGTGGCTGCACTCCTCCCTCTGCTCCGGGGGCCTGCAGACCAGCCAGATCCACTACAGCTACAACGAGGAGAAGGACGAGGACCACTGCAGCTCCCCCGGGGGCACGCCTGCCAGCAAGTCCCGACTCTGCCCCCATAGACGCGCCCTGGGCGACCACTCCCAGGCCTTCCTGCAGGCCATCGCTGACAACAACACCCAGGATCACAACGTGAAGGTGAGCGGCACTCCCCGCGCTGGCTGTGTTCTGCCGACCCGGGCTTTGCTGTGCAGGTGCATCCGAGCTCTGCGATGGACGGGGCCGGCTGTGTAGTTCTGAGCCGGAGGGCGGACTTGGAGGTGCAGCTGGGTCTGAAGCCAGCCGAGTGGTAGAAGCACTGCTGACGGCAGGTCCCTCGGAAGCTGCAGCACCTCGAGGCTCCGTGGAGATGCGGGGTGGCTCCGAAGTTACCTCCTGCCTTTCCATTGCAGGACTTCCTGTGTCAGATTGAGAGGTACTGTAGGCAGTGCCACCTGACCACCCCGATCACGTTTCCTCCAGAGCACCCCGTGGAGGAGGTCGGCCGCTTGCTCTTATGTTGCCTCTTGAAGCACGAAGATTTGGGTAGGCAGCTCCGTGTGCACGTGTGTTGGCGGTGCTGCCAGCCTGCCGACTGCCGTGTGGCTGCCTCCCTTCACACCCTGCCTGTCTTTTCCAGGCCACGTGGCGCTGTCTTTAGTGCACGCGGGCACGCTTGGTGTCGAGCAAGGGAAGCACAGGACGTTGCCCAAGTCTGTGGTGGATGTCTGCAGAGTGGTCTACCAAGCCAAGTGCTCCCTCATTAAGGTGAGCAGCCCACAGCTTATCCCTCTGTGCTGGGTGCTTTCGGGAGCGCTCGGCCTCAGGTCTCTTCCCTGTTCAACTTGGCAGACTCACCAGGAACAGGGCCGTTCGTACAAGGAGGTCTGCGCGCCTGTCATCGAGCGCTTGCGGTTCCTCTTCAACGAGCTGAGACCTGCCGTTTGCAGTGACCTCTCTGTCATGTCCAAATTGAAGCTCTTAAGTTCTTTGCCTCGTTGGAGGAGGGTAACTCAGAAGATCATTCGAGAACGAAGGAAAAAGAGAGGTAAGGACGTAACAGCTGGGACGGTACCGTGCAAGCACGCACATACTCCTGGGTGATTGAATCTGACTCCGGGGAGGCCTTTGGCCACAGAAGCCCTGCCTCTTTCCGAGATAATGATCTGGTTTGGTAACTAATACTCTGAAAAGCCAAGTACTGTAAACTACTAAATCGTTTGGTGGGGAATAAAAGTGGTTTCGTTTTGCTTTTGCGATGTTACCCTGGCAGTGGGGTACACTGCGATGTCACCCTACCAGGTGCTGGTGGAGGGCGACGCCGAGTGCTCTGGTACACAGGGAATTATGGACGGCAACGGGAAGGGGCGCGTGGCCCGAACGGACACACGGCCACCGTAGGGCGCTGTCGGGGAGTCGGGCTGGGCCTGGGCTCCCATCCTGCAGGGCTTGTCCCCGTCAGAGCCCTTGGCTGTGCGCGGCTCTGTCCCCGACGTGGCGTGGCAGGGCTGGCGCCGCCGTCAGTGCCGTCACTGCTTCCTTTTTGGGGAGGTTTTCGCTATAGGGCATGCGCTCGCCAGAAGGACAGAGACAGAGACAGAGAGCGAGAAATCACCCCCTGGGGGGATGGCCACGCCGCAATCCCTTCTCCTCCCGGGATCTTGGGCACGCACGCACACGCGCCCAGTGTGAGTTTAAGCTGCTGGGTCCGGGACTTGAACTGCAGTCGGCTGCATGGGAGTCCAGCGACACAGCCATTACGCCAACTGCTGGTCCCCGCAGTGCCATCATTTCTACTGTTGCAGTTCATGGTGGTGGTTACGTTTCTCCCTATAAAATGTCCTTCATGCAAACGCAAACATTTCTCCATTATATTTACATAGTTCATCTTTATTATGAATGATGTGTTCAAACACAGTTCCTAAGAAGCCGGAATCCACTGAGAGTGAAGAAAAAATTGGGAACGAGGAGAGTGACTTAGAGGAAGCCTGCATCCTGCCTCCTAGTCCGATGAGCGCCGAGAAGAGACCCATCACAGTCAGATCCCCCAAGGTGAAGTACTCCCGTGGTCCAAGTGTCACTGGAGACAGCAGGGCAGGCAGGGCCCGCCAGTGCCCGCCCCTGGGCACTCGCGCAGCTGGAGGGCCGGGAGCTTAGAGGGCTGATGCTCGCAGTGCACTCTCGGGGCAGCTCCGGGCAAGCTCACTTAGCCAGAGAGGCTCGAGGTGTGCCGTCAGGCCCACAGTGGGGCGGCGTCTGTCTCTGGCGCTAATGCATCGTTGCTCCAGAGACTGCACCAGCCCCTGAGGTATCGGTGCGGACGATGACCTGACTTTCCCAGAGTCCTTAGTCCAGAGGGTGTAGATTCTTTCTTAAGCACGTTTCTAGCATTCTCTGCAGCTTACCGTATATTAGTGATTGAGAGCCTCGTACCGACTTAGACCTGTCGGCGTTATCCGTGTGTATTTTATTCAAGTACCTGTTGTCGAGCACACGTGAGTGTGAGCTAACGGGGGACGTTGCTTCCCTCTGCCAGGATAAGTGGCAGCCTCTGCTGAGTGCGGTCCCGGGGGTTCACAAGTACAAGTGGCTGAAGCAGAACGTGCAGGGCCTGTACCCGCAGTCCGTACTCCTCAGCACAGTCGTGGAGTTCGCCCTTAAGGAAGAGCCCGTGGACGTGGAGAAAATGAGGAAGTGTCTCCTGAAACAGGTATGCTTCGGCCGGCAACGCCCGTCTGCCCGTCTGCCCGGCAGCCCATGCGGCACGTGACCTCGTGCCTTCCTGTTGCAGCTGGAGAGAGCTGAGGTGCGCCTGGAAGGGATAGATGCGATTCTGAAGCTGGCCGCCAAGAGCTCGCTCCTGCCCTCTGTGCAGTACGCTATGTTTTGTGGGTGGCAGAGACTGATTCCCGAGGGAGTCGACCTGGGGTAAGCGTCCCTGACTGTTACAGCGGTGGCCGTAAGACGAGACGCGGTCACACTGAAATTCCAAGTCGGCAAGGTTCTAAGGTTCTTTATCTTTGAAAGGGAACCCCTTACGGATTGTCTAAAGGACGTGGATCTGATCCCACCTTTTAACCGGATGCTGCTGGAAGTGACCTTTGGCAAGCTGTACGCGTGGGCGGTTCAGAATATTCGGAGTGTTTTGATGGATGCAAACACCAGATTTAAAGAGCTTGGTGAGTCAAGGGAGGCTCGGTGGTAGAGGCCGGGTGGAGACGGGCTGTTGTCAGTAACGCCAGGAGCACATCAGCCTCGTGTCGTCTGGGCTAGTGACACCTCGGGGACAGTCGCACACGCAGTCTGCTTTTGGGGAGACGTTAGATTGGTGATTGGAGGTGCCTTTAGCTTTCTTGGATCCTGCTAATAAAACCTTCAGAATTTCACAGAGGACATGTCTCGAAGCTCTGTACGGAAGGCCGGCTTTTACGCTCTCACACCCACTTATACCGCGCACTACAGCGTCTGTGTCCCGTGTTAGTGCGTGTGTCCTGCAGAGGTGGAGCATCTCCAGAGAAATGGAGTTCATTTATTTATTCAGAGAGGGAGGGAGGGGCGGAGGGAGGAAGAGAGAGAGAGAGAGAGAGAGAAGGAGAGAGAAAGAGAGAAACAGGGACAGACAGCAGTACTCTGATGGGGTCCTGATGCCGCACTCTACCCCCAGGTTCTGGCAGCCTGGGCACACGCCTGCCCGGCGTACCTGGGGAGGTCTCTGGATAAGAACCGGAAGACTTCCCACGTGGACGTGGCACATGGAGCACTGTGTCCCATTGCCGGGCACCATCCAGCCCCTGGGCCCATTCTCCCTGAAATGAAAGGGGCAGGGCTGCTTAGAGGGGAGCGTCCCACTGTTGTGGGGAGCAGGCTGTGCCTGGCACAGGTGGGGGCTGTCTTGGAACACACCAGAGCTGCCTGAGGCCTCGCTCCGGACAGCCCTGAGACAGACAGGCTTCCAGAAGTGTCTGTGCTGTTGCATCGTGCAGGCAGCAGAAGTGTAAGCGGGTGTCGTTCCTTGCCAGGTGTCCAGCCCGTCCCCCTGCAGACCATCACCAACGAGAACCCGGCAGGCCCAAGCCTAGGGACCATCCCACAAGCGCGCTTCCTGCTGGCGATGCTCAGCATGCTCACGCTGCAGCACGGAGCCAACAGCCTCGACCTCCTGCTCAACTCGGGCACGCTGGCCCTCACGCAGACGGCGCTGCGGCTCATCGGTAGGCCGGCCCTTCCTGTGTCCTGCGTATTTAGGGGGTGCCTAGCTTCTTGGGGGCTCAGCTGCTGTTTTGGGGGCTCTGACAGGTCCTAGTTGTGACAACCTCGAGGAGGACATGAATGCTTCTGCCCGGGGAGCTTCTGCTACGGTTCTGGAGGAGACAAGGAAAGAGACGACCCCCGTGCAGCTCCCTGTCTCAGGGCCCGAATTGGCCGCCATGATGAAGATCGGGACCAGGGTCATGAGAGGTGTGGACTGGAAGTGGGGCGACCAGGTACTGGATCTGACTCTCGTCCACCCGCTGGGGCTATCCTGCACATCTGGGCTCATGATCTAGCGGGGCTGCTCTGCTTGGGGCTGCCGACTGGCAGGGCGCCTGGCTGTCCCCTAGTCCAAGCTGGGGGGACGCTGCGTCAGCCTGCAGAGTGGAAGCTGTCCTCAGCACACGCAGCACACGTGGCACGTGGCCGTGTGCACTGGGACAGCAGTGACGGTGTAGACCCCACTGTGGTCCGTGGCGTGGTGACTGTGAGCCGGCGGGCCGGCCCATGAGGTGCCTCCATCCGGACGTTGGGTGCCCCGGGTGGGCCGGTGGCCGCCTCCTGTCTCCCCGCATAGCACATTGCTTCCACTTCTGCTGGGTCCCCCGGAGGCACCTCGGCAGAGCGCCGGCCACGTCAGGGCCGTGGTCACCTCTGTGCTGTTTCTGTCTTCATAGCCACACTAGGGCATGGGCTTTGTCATGATTGTCTGGGTAGTGAAGGTGCGTGGGGACATGAGCTTCCTCCTGTGAAGATGACAGGCAGGGCTCCCGCTTTGGGCCCGAGGACAGGGAGGTGGAGGGCGGTATGCAGCTGGCGGGAGAAGAGAAGGGTTCATGGGCCAGGGGGGACATGAGCTTCCTCCTGTGAAGATGACAGGCAGGGCTCCCGCTTTGGGCCCGAGGACAGGGAGGTGGAGGGCGGTATGCAGCTGGCGGGAGAAGGGTTCCTGGGCCAGGAGAAGGCCTGTCGCTGCTGGAGCGGCTCCTTGCGAACGCGCTGTGTCCCGCGGTTGCCCTGGGAGAGGAGCCGAGCTCATCATGTCGTGGCGTCTGATTTAAGGGACCGAGCTGTCGGGTCGCAGGCAGGCTGGGGTCTGCCAGGCAGCGTGAAGCTAAATGCGTATGACGTGGGCCCACTGTGGGGCCCCGGCCGGGCCGTGTCTCGGCTGATCTCTGTCTCGGCTTACCTAGGACGGTCCTCCCCCTGGCCTCGGCCGCGTGATTGGCGAGCTGGGTGAGGACGGCTGGATCCGGGTGCAGTGGGACACGGGCAGCACCAACTCCTACCGCATGGGCAAGGAGGGCAAGTACGACCTGAAGCTGGTGGAGCTGCCAGCCCCCACACAGCCGCCGGCCGAGGACTCGGACACGGAGGACGACTCAGGTGGGCAGCTCTGGAGCTGGCGATGGCGCAGCTGCCGTGTCCTGTCGCCTCCGTGGGGTTGACACGGCCCGCCGCATGAGGTGCTCGTGGCTCAGGTTTGCCCCGGGCTGCACGTCGTCCGAGTGCCCCACTGTCCACGTTTCCCCTCGGTCCCGCTCTGGCTCCCGCTGCCGTGTGGGGTGAGGACGTGTAACCTCACCCCTGCGGGTCCCATGTGGACAGTGCTGAGCTTGCCTCTCGGGGGGTCAGCAGGGCGGCATGCTAAGGAGCCAGGTG